CAATAACTATGTCGCAATCCATGCCAGTATGACCCTGCACTACAACAAACTGTTGATGCAGACATTCATTTGTGTCTAATCTGGAAGTAATTATATTAGAGTTTTTACTTAACTTACGACTTCTCTTGTTTTATGTTTTTTTTATTTTTTAAGAACCAGATGCATTTCCGTTTCTTAAAACTGGCGGTGAAATAAGAGTAATAAAAAATAAAAAAAGAAAGATTATAAATTGCTACCGTTGCGTTGCTAGTCATTGCTTATATTACTTCTCATTTTACAAACGGAAATTCGATCTCGTCCGATGTTTGCAGAGGCAGAAGTAATATATGCAAAGCATGTAACATAATTCAGTTATCTCCGGTTTCTGCTGCAGAAGCTGAAGGAGAGATCAAGTCGAAATTCTAAATACAGCCTCTTCCCTGGCATAACTTACAGTTCGAAAAAAAATAATCAAATAAATTTTTGTTTCAGTAATTACTTATTTCAACAGGTCTAATCCAGTATATCTATTTTACCTAACTAATAAAAAAACATTAAAAATATACAAGCGAACGTCTAAATTGAACGATTCCAACACATTGAATAAACACGTTTACTATAGGGTTGTTCGGAAAGTCATTTCGTTTTTTTTTGTGGAAATGAAAGACAGTTTTCGTATAATAAACAAATACTTTATTAAATTATATATTGACCGTTCTGGTCCAACACCTTTTGCCATNATTATTGTTATTACTTTCTGCAAATTAGTTACGAATTAACAATAGTAATCATCAATCGTATTTTGTATCTCATCTATTAAATATTTTTCATAGTTTCATTGCAAATGAATGTTTAATAAACTGGAAAGACGTTTTTAAGATATTTTTATAAAAATATTTTAACTGACAAAAGTTATATTTACAATACAGCGGAACAATAAAAATTACCGTATTGTCTGCTATTACAGGAAGAAATTGTTCTGAATCAAAATATGAAATAAAAACGTTTTATTTCCTGTTTTCTTTTTACGAATATGTGTGTAACCTTAATAATTCGCGTTTCCATGAAAACAATAACGTAGCGCGAGGACATTTTTTAAAAATACTCAATTACTATTATTACTGTGAAAGTAAAATGTATTAATAATAATCGAGCAGAAACACTTGCATGATTTCTTAATATAATACAGAACAATGAAGCAATGTTCAAGTATCATACGTAATACTGAGCAAGATTGATCGATTAAAATATCCCTAACGTTTTGTTCTTTTGTGAAGGTTTGCAGAGCGTAAAGTTATTAAATACTTCATTAGCAATTACAAACAAAATTCTTTCACTTTCGCAAAAATCCTTTTTAAGAATATACACCCAAACATTGGCATAAAAACTGTAATAATCACGCACGTATTATTTGGATTTTAATATATATACAAAGTGGACAATTTGGTTAATTTATAAACTAGCTGATGTTATATGTAAACTAACCCAAGTTAAGATTACTTTTTAATAGAAACTCAAAAGTTCCACTAAAGTGTTAGCTACGAATTTAAGATGTACATACATTGCGGTTAATAGACGAATTCGGCTGATTCACGTAATAGCTGGTTAATACCGTTATTACCTTCTAGTTTTGAAAGGTTATGGTTATGACTAAAAAGGTTCTCCCCATTAAATTTTACATCAAAAGACCGCATAATTTTACCTTTTTAATAAGTAAAAATAAAATGTTTAGAGCGCGTATTAGCCGTCTATTACGCGAATTAGCCGATTTCGATTATTAACCATAATATATACAATACACTTTCAGAAATTCGTAACTAATATTTCAGCAAAAAACTGAGTTTTTACCAAAAAATATAACGTTGAGTTAATTTGCGAACTATCCAAAATTCGAATAGAACTGGTTATTTTGTACCTTTGACTAGCGATGGTTTCTTCACACTTTACAATATCCAGTAGATTCGCGAACTATCCAAAATTCGTAGCTTAACTAACAGAACAAAACTAGTTATTTTGTACTAAGTAACTAGCAATATTTTGTTCATCACTACATAGTATAAAACAAAGTCACTTTCCCGCTGTCTGTCCCTATCTATGCTTAAATCTTTAAAACTACGCAACGGATTTTGATGCGGTTTTTTTTAAAAGATAGAGTGATTCAAGAGGAAGGTTTATATGTATAATACATGCATAATATAGTAGGAAAACACTGATAATTTTTGAGGTTTCTAATGTGATGTCGTAAATAAACACATTTTTTGCCCTTACATTGCAAACGCTGGCTGAACCCTACGAGATAGATCAAAATAATGTACTACAATATTGTACATCTTAAAAGGGTCTACAAAAAAGTCCGGGATGGTATATGTCTATCTCTTAGGGATAACCCACAATAACCATTTTTATCCTTTACTTTTTATGAGAAATAATGACTTATTTACGAAGCGATTGTAGGCAATA